AATTGTACATGATTTTCCACTTACTCCAAATAGTCACCAAACTATTTTCACAAATACAAACCAAAATCTTCATATATGCGCTTCAAATCACAACAATAAGCTAAGCAAACTAAAAAAATTAGCAAAATGTACAGACCTTATTTATAAATTTAAGATAAAAGTTGAACTGGATTATTTACTTAAAGTTCAGCTGTTTGGTACTACTGTGCCTTCAAACTCTGGGAGGCTGTAGTGCCAGGGCACGTTGCAAAACGTCACTACACAGGTACATAGCTTTTAGTACAATAATACATACGGCTTGCTTACTATAGCTGGAGTTAGAAGTTGTATGTCAAATAATGATACACCTACGTAAATGCGGTGTGGAGTTTGAATTTGTGCGTAGCCTGGTACATTTCCACAGATTTCCTCCTGAAATATACACATGAAAACTGTAGCTTTTGGCTACTTTACCCTGAGCAAAATTGTGTGTGGGGTGATCATTTTTCACCTGACAATTCCCTACAGATCTCCAGCAGGATATTGAAAATCTACCGCTATACCAGGCAAAACGTTACAGATGACACCTCAAAGAACTAAATCCAAATTAAGCACTGTTTATTTTTTCTCCTTCTCTGTTGTGCTCACCTGCTGTCATGTCCTGCGCAGTTACGATGTGGGTCCGGCATCCAACTGAGTCACTGTTTAATGCGTATATTCAGGTTCTAACAAAGATCGCGTGCACAACGAGTGGTCTTTAAATTTGTAATTGGACACTGTATTGATTTTCTCAGTACAGTCGCTTTGGCTTAGCTTGTCAACTTGCATTACCCAACGATGTGTCTGTGTTGTTAATTCCCTTAGCCACATCTTTGGTTGGCTTACACAGAATAATAGCAAACTATGCTGGAAAGAAGTGATTCCAGTTGTTCTAAATGGACCTTCTAAACGCACTTCCATTTAACTATGTGAAGTTTTTTGTTTTTTATAGTTCACAGTAAGTCATACAGTGTTTTCAACCACATCAACTTGTCTGTGCAATATGAATTAAGACCTGGATGTGGTTTGTGTGGGTTAAGAGAAGTTTTAGGCTTGTATTTATGGAAACAGTTAGGGTGACTATTGATGTCAGCAACGTTAGCCTCATAGCTGCAAAGCTGGACACCAAACATGTATTGGCTGTTGGACCCTATGTGGGGTAAGTGAAAAGTCATGTGAATTTGATTTTTGGCCATACGACTTCAACATCTCTGCTGAAATTTCCAAAAAAAGCAGTGGAATTCCCCTTTACATCAATGGTTTGGCCAATAAATCTAATTTTATTGTCATTGTCAGTGTCAGAAACCACAAAAGCAAGTCTATTTGAATTTACTTAACAACTCATTGTGGTTTTTATGTAAGTGTATGATGCACATGCTTCTATTACTTGTTTCCTACATTAGCCTCATAGCGCTAATGCAAAACTAAAGAAGAAAACTTTAGACACCAAATGTCTTGGCTGATCAACAACATTTAGGGTAAGGTGAAAATCAACTGGCTAAATTATAGCATTAAGGCAAGTAAGAGCAAATGGCCGCAACAGTGGCTATTACACCCCAGTTCCAAATGATAAATAACACATTAGTAGCAATAGATTACAGTCAGACTGGAATGAATACATCAGACATACCTATAAAATATTTCAATGAAATATGCAAATGCTGTGTTTGTACGCTTCGCCAGGACGCACAAACACGCATTCACAACTTCACACCAGCTATGCAGTGACAGGTCAATGTCCACAGAAATCGACGGATGATGTATTTCAGTCTCTGCTCTGCAAATGTGAGCTGGCAGCAGAAGCCGTGGAAGCCAATTCAGTGCGACAGTGTCAATTGCACTTGGCAGGTTTGATATCTATTATATATGAACCTCCATTTCCCCAAACTTGTTCTCACAAATGCTAAAGAGTGTGTATGTATGCCTATATAAGTGTGTGTGTGCATGTGTGTGTGTGTGTGTGTGTGTGCTTCAGTGTGCATCTGTTTGCATTTGTATACAGAGGAAGGGGGGCTGTGGGAATCGGAGATGAGAGCGCCATCAATCACTCCACTCATCAGTCTGATGTGTGTGCGTGTGTGTGTGAGAGAGAGCTAGGGCGATATCAGGCTCATCTCTGTGTCATTACAGTGCAGCTCATAGGTTATCGGAGGAAGCGAGGGCTATTTATATCCTCAGTCTCTTCTCCCCCTCTTTCTGAAAAACGTGCTTTTTGTAAGGGTGAAACAGTACATCTCAACACAAAGCATCACAATGCCAAATGTGCACTGAAGCCTGGTCATTTGACAGTGACAGCAAACTTGACCTACACCATCACAATCAACTTAACCCAGAACAGTGTGCTAAATGTTACTCATGCCAGCACGTTAAACCTAACCCACACCGACACATTCAACTTAACCCAACTTCACCATGTTTAATATAACCCACACCAGCAGGCTTGTTCCACAACATCACATACTACTTAATCCACACCACACTAGCATAGTCAACTTAATCCAAATCAGCATGGTCATTTTAACACATGCCAGCATATTCAACTCAACCCTCACCATGTTTTTTGGCTTGAGCCACACCAGCACATTCAACTCAACCCAGACCAGCATGTTCCTGCACCAGGACATACCACTTAATTCACACCAGCACAATCAGCATGTTCATTCTAACCTATACCTGCACAATCAACTCAATCCACACAGCACATTCAACTCAACCCACTCCATGTCAATCAGCTTAACCCACACCAGCATGTTCAGCCTAACCTACATCAGCACAATCAACTTAATCCAAATCAGCACGGTCAACTTAACCCACGCTAGCATATTCAACTCTGGGTCTACCACCTCCTATCTCAAGTCTCAATGGAAACCTGTGCCAACACATGAATGCAGTCCTTTTCGTTAAATTCAGATGTTGTTCAAAATATCATGAGAATATCAAATTGTGGAGCCAAAACTGAGAATTAAATCAAATCATGAACTGAGTATATCATAGGGTTGGGCAGTTTCCACCTAACGTTAGCTTGTTGAGCAGGATACAGACCCAATCAGCACCACACTCCAGCATATTTATTAGTTTCGCCTGCAAACCTGTTTGCTGGACAGACATTTCTTATTGTAACTTCTTGAGAGTTTCACATTTATGGAAACAGTGTTTTGTGATACAAGTTTCTGTTAATTAGATTCTAGACTAAGATTGCTCAAAAATTAGATTATCTATAATAATCTCAGCTCATCTTGAAATTAGAAAAAAAAATTCAGTGCTACTGAATGAATAGCCGTTTTGGAGTCGAAAGATCTGCCTCATTGAAAAGAGACAAACATGCCCATCACTAGTTGTGCAAGTATGCATGTTGCTTTATACTGCATTTTAATATCAAACAGCCCTGACACCGCAATCTTTACAGCACACCTATAGACTCTACAAAAAAACACTTTTCCTAGTTTTAACTTCTCAAAGCAATCAAAATGATACTTAATATTAATAGAATACTTAATTGAGGAAATTGTATAAGTGGGCCATTTAGCTGCTTTCTGTTTTGCTTAGCATCCATTTTGGGAGCCTGCTTAAGTATCAGTGAGTCCAAGATTGCCTGTTCCTGTGAGGCAGAGTAAAACAAACTTTTAACCTTTTTTACATTCACTGGCACGAGACCACAGGCAAAAGACATGAGTCAGCAGTAAATCAGCAGTTCTTAACTAAACCGCCAGACTTGACCGATGTGCAGGTTAATTATTTAATTAAGTTATTAATTAGGCTTTTTGTGATATGCACTATGAGTCAATAGGCTAATTTTCTCATCTCATCATGACCTGTAAATTTAGTAGCATCCGAGGCCAGCGGCACGCATCATTGGAAATCAGCACGTTTGTATTCACGCATAATGATTTGGTAGACAATTCTTGTCAAAAACTGTTCCCGCATGGGTGCTCCTGAATCAAAACTGTGGTCGCATTTTTGAAACAAGGTGCAAATGTGAGCATTTTGCTCACACTGCAGAGCCCTGTTAGGTATTTTCTGGTGCTGATATAGCAGCACATCAGACATAAAAAGAAACTCATCACCGTGGGAACCATTTGGTTCTACAGTTGGAGGTCAATAGCATCTGAGAAGCGATTAGAGGGTGCTTAATTGTTGGATGGGAATGCATATTGGACATCTCTGACTGTGACTGTTTTCAGGCAAATCTTGCAGACTGGTCCACCACCCCGCCCCAACTAAAATGTGAAAGGGTGTAATGTGTTTATTTGTCTGTTTACAAGATTTGACACTGGTTACTCTGAAAAAATGTCATTTTGAAACACCATCACCATTTTGAAATACAGTGGTATAACTGATTACCGTTAAAGCACCCAACCCCAGTGCTTATTTGGTTTCTCTAGCTATCTGATTCCTTCTGTTCACTCACTCTCTCTCTCCATCCATCTCTCATTCCCCCTTTTCCTCCTGCCTCTTTCATCCCTCTCTCTCCTTGACCAAGTTCTCAAGGTGGAGGTGGCATATTTACAGTCATTCTAGAGACAATGCACCTGTCGGAGTGTGTGAGGGCACACACATTCACAAGCGCTGAAGTACGCTGAACTGAAAAAAAGGCTCTAATTTTCATGTCCTACAGTCAAGCAGCTACACAAAGGCGATGCAGCACAACCACACAGACACACATTCACACATACCAGCCACTCCACTGTCTTTCACTTCAGCCAAGTGCTGTTAAATATTTCTAAAGAATATTTACATATTAAGTACATAAAGGAAGAGACAAACAATAGAGTATGAATAGTCTCTCTGGGAAAAGCATTTGTAGAGACAGAATGATGAGACAGAAAGGCTGTGTGACAGTGTGGTACTGAGTGAATGCTAAAACACTAAAATCAGTCCATTCTTACACTATCAAATAAACATCTGCTTTATTTCTGTATCCATGGAGAATACATTAAGGTAACTATGGGTGATGTTAATATTCTACGTGATTGGATACTCACTCAGTGATCTCCTCGGTAACAGTGTGCTCCACCTGTAGGCGGGAGTTGACCTCAATGAAGTAGTGCTTGCCATGTTTGTCCACCAGAAACTCCACTGTGCCTGCGTTCTCGTAGCCCACCTATATAGCACAACAAAAAAAAACATGACTAAAAAGCACTTGGCATTTAGCACAGGACAAAATGAGCACTTCAAAATATCAAACACAACCACTCCTGTGCAACTTCACATTTCTACTTATTAGAAGGAAGCTAAGAAGCTGTAAAATAATGAATAAGATTTCGGACATGTCCAGAATTATGAATAGAGATAATAGATAAACAACTGAGAAACACCGTAAAGAATGAAGCTATAACAAAATTAATGTACAGGACAGCATCGATTCTCATGGCAGATTACTTGAGGAAAACTGTTACAAATAATTATAGTATATCAGTTAATAACCTGTTCCCAAAACATTTGTAATATCGAATTAAACCTCTAAAACCAGCTGTGTTTGTAGTTTGTGAACCTTCTTCCACAGAAGGCACCGAGCAAACTTAGCCCAAGAAGAAAGATGTCACCAAACAGCAGAGAGGCAGGATCATCTGAAACTGGCCTCAGTATCATTACTCATAAAACTGAAAATGATGTAGAAGCCATGGGCAAGCACGTACTTTGAAAATATTACAGATTCCTATGGTCAGTTCATTTCCAGATTCTCAGCTGAGCTGAGTAGCCTCAAGCCAGTGACTAGCTAAGGTCATTTGCTCTGGCACTTTCTGAACAAGGCCTCATATCAAATTATAGAGAACTAAGAATTTTATAAGAATAAGTCTGTCAATTTCTGCCATTTTGCTCTCACCTCTTGGTTTCTATCCACTTTTTTAATCTGCTCTGGACATACCATAAACCCTGAGAGAGTAATGCAGTTAACAGCTTTCGGCACTAAGGGACTCAGCGGGAGGAAAATTGATGTCACTATTTCTGAAGCAGGCTTTCTGAATCCTGTGGGAAATCCCATTCACTCATAACACTCTATGCAACCTTTCAACATCTGCCAGAAATCACCCCTCTCTACTGATCTGGGATTGGCTCACTATATCCAAATCCTACAGTCAGCCATTATACGAAAAAGTGCAGAACTGATCTTAAATCGGCGTAACTGGGGAACTTCTAGCAGCACCTTTCAAGCTCTTGGTGGAACTGATCCATAGGCAAAAGGCCAATTCTGTGGAACAGCAAGGCGCCAATGGTAAGAAGGGAAAAGATTTTTTTTGTGGTGGGGGGTGAGGAAGAGTGGAATCAGCACGACTCCTGGCCTGGATGGGAGCCAAAGTAAAGCTCCATATTCCAGACTTGGAGGAGCGAGGAAGTGAGGGATGAGAGAAAAAAGGACAGCATGCTGAGGGAAGGTGAAAAAAAAACCAAAAAAACAAAAACATGGTGACCAAAGAGGAAAAAAAGAGATTGAAAGCTGTCTGCAGAAAGTGAACACTTAGTGGCTGGCGTAATGAAGAAAGCTGAAAGCTATCGCCATGGTGATGCTGGACGCTGTGTAATTATGTATATCAGGGCAATTCAGACAGGTCATGACCCAGAAAAGCTTCAGCTAGGAGATCACTGAGTTATTAGCTATAATAAGGTCCCCTACCCAATCCTCTCTCTCTTTCACCCGCTGTCCCTCTATCGTCTCTTGTCCATTCTTTCTCTGTCTCTACTCGCCCTCTCCATCTACTCTCTACTCTTTGATCTCTCGTCTTTCTTCCCAGCCCTCTCTCTCTAGTCTCTTTCCCTCTCTCTCTCCCTCTCTGAGGGGATTGAGAATAATCCGGTGCCAAAATTCACTGTAATCTGATCCAATTTCTCTCCACAATTCAGAGCTGCCTACTAATTCCATATTCCATATCACAGTGAGCCTGCCAACAGCAAACACACACACACACACGCACGCAGCACATGCACTCTCCCACACTCACACATCCACATAAGCTCACATACACAAACATCCTTATAGACACACACGCACACTCAATCACATGTTCCTCCACACGTACAGAGACCCACACACTCATTCACACAAGCTCTTCCATGCATGCTCACAAATAGTAAAGTATAAAGATGTTATCTGTTCTGTTTGATCATTTTTCTGTTTGGCACAAAGCCACTCACACACATTGGTGTTGCTATACTTGTGAGGACTTCTGCATTACTGTAGATAACTAATACTACACCTACAGTTAAATCTGTCCCTAACCTTAACCACAAGCACTATTTCTGCTCATTTAGTTGTTCCAGAAATGTCCGCACTTCACAAAACTGTCATGTTGTCCTATCACCATGAGGATGTTAGGTTCTGACAAAGTGCTAAAGACAAGTACACAAACACACGGAAACACCTACACTCTGTTCTTCATAAACACACTCAACGATTTCCATTCAAAAATTTATCCTACTGTCAAACACACAAACACACCGACTGACTCCATTTATTATTCACGCCCCCTCCCCCGTTTTCCTCCTCTTACCCCTTCACCCCTCCATTCACTCCAGGCTTTCATTCAGTCCAGTGGGATTTGACGTGTTTTAATCTGCACTGACTAATGTGACCATGTTGACAGAGTTCAAACTGACACTGGTAAATATCATCAGAGAGAGCGAGAGAACAGGAAGAGAGACACAGAGGAAAAAAGGGAGAGAGAGAGACAGAGAACAATAAAGAGTGAGAAAAGTGAGAAGAGAGATAGAGAGACAGATAAATAGAGAGGAAGAGAGATAAACACAGGGAGAGAGACAAGAGAGAGACAGAAAGCGAGAGAGAAGGATGAAAGGATAAGAGGCATGCAGTAAGAGCGGAGCAGATGGTGAGAAGATGAAGGAAGGACAGAGGGTGAAAAACAAGAGGAGAGAAGGAAGACCCTGCTTGGACAGCACAAATGTCACAAACTGCACAGACAGACAGGTACATAAGGAGAGAGAGGGAAAGGGGGAGAGAGAGAGAGAGAGAGAGAGAGAGAGAGAGAGAGAGAGAGAGGAGGGGCAAAGAAAAAACAGGACAGATGGTGAAACAACAGACAAGATAGAGGGAATAAGAGATAAACAGAATGAGAGGAGACAGGCAGGATGAAAGACAAAGAGAGAGAATGAGAGCGAGAGACAGAAACAGAGACCCAGAGAAAGAGAGAATAAGGGAGAATGAGACAGAGAGTGAGAGAAAGGGAGAGAGAGAGAGAGAGAGAGGAGAGAGAGAGGGAGAGAGAAAGTGAAAGTAATCAGTGTCTTTTTGATCAGATGCATTTGCAATGACACGCATGATTATAATCGGCTTTCTGTTGGAGAGGACAAGCGGCTGCTATGGTGACAGCACACCTACAGATGTGACCCAGAATAAACGAGAGAGAGAAAAAGAGAGAGAAACAGAGACAGTAAGTGAGGGAGAGAGAGAGAGAGAGAGCACAAGAAAAAGAGAATAAACATATGATCTTTCTTAGATCTCAACACTGAAAGAGTATATAAGACTAAAAGACCTCAGAGAAATGAATTGCTCCACTGTTTAGGCTTTTAAGCTCAACCATGAACAGTTCACAGCGCACCAAGCTGTTTTTAGAGAGGCTTTAACTATTTTAATTATTGTCCTACTGACACAGCAGCTAATTTTTGTGGTTTTTACATTCAGGGTTTCAGAAAGGATCGCCCTGTATGGACCGAGGCAAACAATAAAGAAAGAGCCTCTCATCTCAGCCGGCCCATTGGCACAATGGGCTTTAATTAAAAAGGCTTTGTTTTTAGTGCTAATGAGTTGGCAAAGCATTTTTAAGGGCAAAAAGGGGAGTGAGACTATGATGCAGGGGGCCTATTTTCTACACTTTGTTTCGTACACTGTTCGTTAATAAAACATCCAGACAGATGAAATACAACCATGGTGTGCTGCCTGGTTGATAGCTGTAGTGACAACAGCAACGAAAAACAAGAAGGGGTAAGCTTTATCGCATCCCTGCTGTCTCACGTCACGAGGGCAAAGATCATTTGAGTGTCGAGAACTGTTCATGATTGACAGTAGACACGGACCGATAATTGATTTATGCTTAACTGTTTATGTTATAACTGTTTTTATGATTAACTGTTTATGTCTCACTTAGAGCTCTTATGCTTTAGCTAAACAATAAATACAGTTGACACAAAAACATTAGCAGGGCTCACATAACTTAAGCTAAGGTCAAGCTAACACCGATCACCCCATCAAATACAGATCCGTAGCTATTACTCACTTTTGCACTTATGACGTTTGATAATGTAACGTTAGCTGATGGTGAAAAAGACGCCATCTCTGAACCGCAGATAAAATTTTGTTTGTAGTGGTTTTTTAATGCATTTTTCTTGTGATATGTATACTGAAGCAGTACTATTGTAAGGTAATTACAAGATAACTTATCAATTTAGTACGGATCGGGCAGGAACGGGATGTTTCTTCTGGGTTTTGCAAGTACTATCTATACAGGAGCTATGATCTAACGTAGCTAACAAGTAACAGAAGCTTACACACCAGCAATTAGCATTGTGCAAACTACATGTCTAAGGCCCTGATTATACCTGGCATTAACATGCGTCTTGTGGGATCCCATCATAAGTGGACAGCGCTAGGGCCCACTGGAGACACCTGATCTGAGATCTGATCACCTTTGGAGGTAGTCCAGGGCCGCAACATTTGTAGTGTGAACGGCTAAAGCCCCAAACAGCCTCACCTAATCAACTGCACCATCATAGCACAGAGAAAAGGAGCAGCGAATCTTTTGTCTCTTATCCTGTTAGTTTAAGTTGCATTAGCAGTCCATGCAATCATGTATGTGTAAACAAACTTGGACAATTTGGCTGCTTGTGGAAGCAGATGGGCACGTAACATATGCTGCAAGTGTGCCACAGAAAAAAAACATGCTAGTAATTAATACATTGCGAACACAAAGTTATACAGGCCCTATCCCATTTCACCCCTTAGCCCTCTGTTTTGCACGTTCACCTCTAGGGTTAGGGTGTCCCAATTTTTGTTGGGATAGAAGGGTAGGGCGAAGTGTTAGGGCTACATGGCCCTCCAAACTGAGGTTTTTCAGAGGCACACTCCAAACAGAGTGTTATGAGGAAAAAAAA